GCGTTGCGGCGGAGCTAGAATCGGACGCATTTATGCGGAAGAACTCCATCTACGTTGGGGAATGGAGAATTTGCAGGTGTCTGAAATGTGGTGAATTTCATTTTAAGGGTGGAACTACTAAGCGAACTGAGCATGAGAATATTTTTGCTTTCTAAATTGAACAATTATTGGAACATGTATGACATAAAACCGAATTTGCTAATCAAAGGGGCCTTTCAAGTATTACGTAATGCACTTAGGGGAGGGCTTTAAGTCAGTATTACGGTGAGTTACAAGGAGAGGGGGGGGGTGTCAAGCTCAGAGTTACGTAACATATTCAAACCGTGGGGAGGGGGTGTTGAAAAAACGAGGAAAAAGTTGAAAATCCCGCCCTCTTTTACCATGTCGTAATTCAGAGAAATATCTCTCCAAAATAAAAAAAATTCCAGCTGTTCTCTCAGCGTTTTCTTGATTTTTTGAAAATGGGGGGGGGGGAGATCAGGCCAGCGTTACGTAATTCAAGGGGAGTTTAGGGCTGTGTTACGGGTGCGTTACAAGCGGGGAGGGTTCAAATATCGGAAAAAGTGTATTACGTAATCCCAAAAAAATTCCTCTAGAATTTTCACATCCTATATTATCCAAGCATGTCCCGGCGCAAATTAGTATGGAATCGCAACCAAGAAACAAGAATTCATCCGAATTGGTACCAAAAGTTGTAAGCACTAATAGCGTTGCAGCAATCTAAAAATTGGAAAATTGGCATCACATGGCAAATAATGCGGGGAAAGAAGGAAGGAGCAAATAGTAAAATAAACACAAACTTGATTTCTTTGATTCTTTGTAAACGATTGCGCGTGAAAAAAGAACGCACGGAAACGCTCGTCATTGGGCGGAGTATCGTCAGGTATACGAGCTTCCGTAAATATTTGCTCAGGGTCAAAGTGAGAGCGCAAATATATTGTCTTTTTTTCGAGCGAAACATAGAGTAACTACTTCAAAGTTGCAATGGTATGATTGATCGAAAAAAATTAATTTGATACACATGAAAATGGCAAACATGGAAATATGAGTATTTCAGATTGCGACGTTGCCTGTCCCCACTCGTGTATGAATAAAAAGAAAGCTTTTACGAGAATTACCTCTTGAAATTTTCCTCTTTCATTCAAAAATATTCTCTGAGAATCTCATCGACATAGGTATCAGGGAGTTTTTTGTTCACTCCTCTATCAAAATAGTCAAAGATTTTTTGAACGTTGCAATGAAGGCACGCATTTTTCGAATTTAGGTATAGCCATCAATCTAGTTGTTTGCATGGGGGTCAATTTCATTTTTTGAACCTAGTACTCGAAAGCAATTGAATGTTTTCAGGCAGGAAAGAACTATTTTTACATGAATGAAAGTAAAAGGAATTATAAAGCAGCAAAGTATGCACTTGATTTCTTGTGATTTAATTCATTCGCTCATAGTTTTTATGCATAATAATACGTCTAAATAATCTACGATTCCACAAATCGATGACCTACTTTCTATACACAATTATATTCAATAGTGTAAATATGTTTATTGCGTGATATGTACCTACATGAATGTTACTTCTGAAACGATGCCTCTTAATATTCCCTTTCACTTAAATTCCTCATTTTTCTTATGGTGAAAAGAGTTAAATTTTCTCCCCCACCTTGCAATTTACATCTTTTTTACGAGTCATCTCAGATTCTCTTCTTGGATTCCTTCACGTTTTAGGTATGAAAAAGAATGTACGATTTTATGGGACACACATTTTTTAACTCATCGAAGCCTGAGGAACTTCACAGTTTTACAATGTGATGATGATCCAAATATCCTCATTATTCGAATCTTTCTTCTCTCCTCCAGCACTTTTGGAGCCAATATTGTGGCTTTTCATTTTTTCAGTTGTCTGCCAATAACAAAGTTTCCTCATCGTCTCAGTTCGCATTTAAATGAGTCGTCGAAGTAAATCGCGGACTAAAAATGAGATGAAATGAAGGCAAAACTACATTAATTCAAATTAATCTTGGTTTAAGCCAAATGGGACGAAAATAAGAGATCTAGGTCCATGGTCGTAAAACTCGGGCTCGGGACTGTGGACCACTTCACTGTTGCCTCATATTTCGATATTCGCATCTTTTGTGGGGGTAAAATTTCGCCATGTTCGCGATGATGGCATGCTTTGTGATATATCGATTGATCTGCCATTTAAACCTATGAAATAGCATCGATAAACAGCACTGGAAAAAAAAATAACACATTGGATCTAGAGTCCAAACTCTTGAAAACATTGACAAGAAAAAGGACTCTTGATTCAATCAGATTTAAGCTTAAATCAAGAACCAAGCCTCTTAATTTAAGCGGATTTCCTTTTGATTTAAGCCTAAATCTGATTGAATCAAGAGTCCTTTTTCTTGTCTATGTTTTCAAGAGTCTGGACTCTAGATCCAATGTGTTTTTTTTCCAGTGAGGGTGTTCGCAACGAACCCTGGTAAAAATTGGCAGTAGAATCTGTGTTCCAAAATACAATGGACCTACGGCCGGCTGTAATATTTCCAATAGCTTCCATAGCCGGCTACACAATTTCTTATAGCCCTTTATAGCCGATGGCGATTAAGCAACTCACAGCCAGGCGATAAAGTGTATGCTAAACGTCACTAATTACGGATGCTAGGACTTAGGAAGTTTTTGGACCACTGCTCTCTTTTTTGGCCGTGGTATCTTAATTTATTTTGCGAGGAAAGCTCCGTACTTTTGATGGATGCCTGCCATTCCTAATATATTAGAGCGCCTTCAGTTTCGTATGATACTGTGCAATACCTCTAGTGTGAAATAGTTGCTTCAAGTGCCGTGGCACGCTGCGGTGCGGCAGGCGGGCAGCCAGCGCTGAACGCGCATTGGCGCCTACAAACCTAACAGGGATACTTCACGCGTTGCGCAATGCGTGAAGTATCCCTGCTAGGTTTGTAGGCGCCAGTGCGTCGCCGCTCCGCTTTGTGTTAGGCTCTAATGTTTAATCTGGCGGAGTCAGCGTTATTCAACTCATGATTTTGAAATGTTTGCACATACTGTATGGATTATTCTCCTTTCAATTGATGAAAAAAAACTCTGTATTAAAGGAAAATGTAACGTGTGTTTTGTCAATATTAAGGTAGTTCCGTGTCAAACTTAATGATTTCCAAAGCCCACGAATTTCTACACAATTTCTCATAGCCTTTTATAATCGATGGCGAAAAAGCAACAGCCAGGCGATAAAGTGTAAAGCCCGGCTATAGGAACTGTAGCCCAGCTGCATAATTTTTTATCGCTTCGTGTAGCCTGGCCGTATGATTTTCTCCGCATTCTACAGCCAGCTATATGATTTTCTGTAGCCTTCTTTAGCCAGCTATAAGAATTTCTATGGTATTTTGAAACGCAGCTCTTATTGCCAATTTTTACCAGGGAACACCTGAATGAATAACGAGTCTTTACTGTAGCTCCAAATGGGGAAATATTGATAACCGATCATGTATGCCTTACCACTGCCGAGATTGTTAAATATATTCTTCGACCTAAAGTTTTCATATTGTATCTAGACATACCCTAGACTCAGACCAACATTTGGACGTATTTATGCTAAAAAGAACTATGTTACACGCAGACCCTATGCACATAGTTCCTTTTAGCATAAATACGTCTATTTGCACTCGTACCGATACGTCATAGTCCTGAGTGTCTTGTAAAAACAAGAAAGACCGCCGTAACTCCTTTCCAGATGTTATAAGGTTTCGTCAAACATGTCTTTTTTCCAGAATACTTTGTGCTGTTTTTGCGATACTTTAGATCTGAAAGTATCATTGAGATGATACCGACTAATAATTCCATTCATATTTAAATATAAACTAAGTGATAGACTAAATATAAACAGAAATAAATATCGACGGTGAAACTACCAAACCACGTATCTCGGTTTGCGACGTCGCAGACTTCCTGTCATACTTTATTTTTTAAATGAAAAACTACTTAACGCCCAGTCTTGAAAATTTCTGTGATTTTTCCTCTTCGTGCGGAGAAAATTCTGTGAAAATTTCAAGAAATGATATTGATTTGGTCTACTTCAAAAAAATAAAAAGTGAGCGTAGATTTTTAAACACCGCAAACGAGATACGTGGTTTGGTAGTTTCACCGTCGATTTATTCCAGTTTTTACATTTTCATACTCATAAAAATGTCTAAACTCTGTAATTTGAGACCGTATAAGATTGGAGGAAATAAAATCATAAAAAAAATGGAATTGTGTGTGATCATCGCTCCGAACAATATATTCTCGAGTAACCCATCGCAAAGCGGGATGGATAAGCCAACACCATATGTAAGCTTATATCGACGGTGATTCTGCCAGACCTCGTATCTCGTTTGCGGCGTTTGAAAATCACCGCAACCGATTAATTTTTCCTTTTTTTTCTTCTTCTTTTTTACCAAAAAAAAAAAAAAAAAAAAATGAAAACGAATCAATATCACCCCTTGAAGTTTTCACAGAGTTTTCTTCACACAGAGGAGAAATTCACGGCAGTTTTCAAGAATTGACCTTGAGTGGCTTTCTATTTAAAAATAAAGTATGACAGAAAGCCTTCAATGTTGCAAATCGAGGCACGTGCACTGCAAAAAAAAAACTCAGGCCGTGGGAGCCGAAATTACGGGCTATATAAACATACCGTCCGTTCCGGGCTCAGAGGCCGAAAATTCTGGCTGCTGTAGGCGTAGCTTCGATTGCTCCGGGTTCAGAGGCCGAAGCTACGGCTCCAGCAGCCGGAATTTTCGGCCTTTGAGCCCGGAACGGACGGTATGTCTATATAGCCCGTAATTGTGGCTCCCACGGCCGGAGTTTTTTTTTTTCAGTGTGGTCTAGTGGTTTCACCATCGATAGAATACGCTGAAGCAGGAACACCTCGAAAGAGAATGAAATGCATAAATACGAGGAGCGTGGCAAATACGGGTGCGTATCTGAAACGGACGATTGGTTTTTTGTTGCAGAACCTATCACGGAAATTGTGGGTGGTCCAGACCTGTACATCAACCAGGGCAGCACCATTAATATTACGTGCCTTGTGCATTTCGCGCCGGAGCCACCCCCGGCGATTGTTTGGAGTCATGAGCAGCAGGTAAGTTGTCCGCATCAATCAAATACCGCGCTCCCCCCCACCCCCACTCCACGGCCCCCCGACCTAGCTCTCACACATTCTACTAAGGAAAAACACCGTATGAGCTTCCGAACATTGCTAAATTTCACTCTGTAAAATAATTATTTTTCGCATCAATGGAGCTATTGCGTACGGGGAGATTTGCGATTTAAGGTGATTCGATGGACGCCATATTTTGTGTCAGAACGGCATGCGATATATCGCATCAATTCGTTCCATTTTTTCAGCTACTCGTCATTTTTCTCCAATTTTGAGATCGCAATTCTGTTGTCAGGAGACTGAAGCACTCACTTACCAATTTTAACAAAGAAATTCAACGTAAGAAAGGCGTGGTCTTTACAGAGAGAAAACATCGCATTCGATACTGATATCGAAACTGCACTCGAATGCGATATTTTCTCTCTGAAAAAACCACGCCTTTATTACGTTGAATTTCTTTGTTAAAATTGGTAAGTAAGTGCTTTAGTATCCTGACAACAGAAGTGCGATCTCAAAATTTGGAGAAAAATTACGAGTAGCTGAGAAAATGGAACCAATTGATGCGATATATCGCTTGCCGCTCTGACACAAAATATGGCGTCCATCGAGTCACTTTAAGTTTAGTTTCTTGTGTAAAATTTTGCGAAAATCACGATTGTGCCACTGGTTTTTTCTGAAAAGAACTGAAAAACAGAAGAAAGGCTCTCAAAGTTGAGACAGTAAAGTTGAGACAGTAATGGAGGTGATATCCCACGCTATCCTGAAAGTTTACTTCTTCGCCCCTACAGCGTAAGGGCATATTTCAACTTGGACGTGAGCCCTAGAAAGCATGGAGATTTATGGACAATAGGGACCATCCCAAAATGGCGGTACGTCCTTACGTCAGAGGAGCGACAAGACGTACTCCCCGTGTTACGTCTTCTTCTTCTTTTCTGTTCCGTGTAGGCAACAGCCCGTCCTCATCCTCCACTCCACCTTGTATTACTTGTTCCAGCCTATCATTCGGAGACTGCTTGACAGTATCCATTAAATATTTACACTAAATCGCTTCGGCATATTTAACGTAAAATCTCCACGCTCTGTCGTGCGATCTCCTAAAATATTTGTTGCATCCAGCGAGCGGCGCAGAACCGAGTTTCAGTCTCAGGGGTGAAGCTTTCAGCTTGTGATTGATTAATTCTCCTCTTCTTTTCCGGAGGACCGGGAAACAGTTAATCTCTGAGGAAGGTAGTTTTGAAGAATTCAAAATAGCCCGGATAATAAAAGCATAACTATGATCATTATGACGGCTCGAGCTCATGAAATGACTGACATAAAAACATTTCGCATTAAAAAGTTTTATCGGAACCAAGCATCAAGGATGCACAGCGCGACGCTGGTTAAGCATCGGAAAAGTTGTAAAAGCAACCGAGAAAGAGTTTGCCAGTCGGGGCCGGTAAACCATCATTTCTGAGGACCACGCGCCTATCAATTATTTATGCGCGAATTTACAAACAGGTTGAAAGTGTGATCGGCTCCTCAAAACTTATCCTCCAGAGAGATTATGGAAACAGAAGAAGCAGGCAGGGTTCACTCTGGACAAGATAGCAGTAAGTGTACATGCAACTCTCTTGTCGGGTAATATGGACTTGCCGCTGTCTCATCGCATATGTCGTCAATGGACCACTAGACAAGGCACGGCTTTAAGGTGATTCGACGGACGCCATATTTTGTGTTCGAACGGCATGCGATATATCGCATCAATTGGTTCCATTTTTTCAGCTTCTCGTCATTTTTCTCCAATTTTGAGATCGCAATTCTGTTGTCAGGAGACTAAAGCACTCTTTTACCAATTTTAGCAAAGAAATTTAACGTAATAAAGGCGCGGTTTTTTAGAGAGAAAACATCGAATTCTATACTGATATCGAAACTGAACGCGAATGCGATATTTTCTCTCTAAGAAAACCACGCCTTTATTACGTTAAATTTCTTTGTTAAAATTGGTAAGTGAGTGCTTTAGTCACCCGACAACAGAATTGCGATTTCAAAATTGGAGAAAATTAAGAGTAGCTGAAAAAATGGAACCAATGGATGCGATATATCGCATGCCGTTCTGACACAAAATATGGCGTCCATCGAATCTTCTTAAGCAATCTGGTCATAGAGTACATAGAGTCGCAATGTGAATGGGAGAGCTGACGTTATGTTCTGGTCGACGAGTTTCGAGCCCGGTGTGCGCCGAGCTTTAGTCACTTTTTCAATACATTTTCGATCCAAAATGGCGATGTAGAAAACGTATCCTCTAATAATTCCTATCCTCATTGTGTACATCGGATGGCCGGGTCCCCATGTATCGAAAACAATCAATTATATTTCGAAAAAGTGACTCGGCGTGACAAGTTTTTGCGTCAAATTTTCAAGTAGAACCCGATTTGCGCAACAGATGATATGACTGAAATTACTTCCAACCAAGAAATCAATGTTTTTACTTTGCATAGGTTACAAAAAACTTTCGAAATTACATGGATCCTTATGGCGGAAAGAAAGTTCTAACTAACTTTTTGATGCTTAAAATTTGGAATTCAAAAGCGAATTTTTCACAGATTAGCCATTAAGACTAGTTTTACTCGAAATCATTAATATATTGATTTTTTGGAGACTGCACTTATGCGCATTTTTCTTTAAGCCCCTCAATAGATGCCTCGAAAAACTTTATATCTTTGTCGAGAGTCACTTCCAATAAGTTTTGCTGTACCTACAAATAGTGCTCTACATGAAATTTTGATGAGAAAATATTTATCATAATGCTTGAATGCGCACCATGTCTAGTGGTTCATTACTGCGCTCTCAGGCAACCGTTGTATTTTATGAGTTGGGCGAATTTTGATCTTTCAGTGGAATTAATTTAAATGAAATTGGTGGGATTTTCAGGGAAACTCGGTTTTGAAAAGTAGGCTGTTACCGCTCTCATCGGTAACACGCGAGATGGAATGAACAGGGGAGCGAGTTCCACCTCAATTTTGCCTCCATTTCCCGGGAAAGAGAGACGGAAAAAACATGGATTCGAATCGCAGTTCATCTGAGAATGTCCAATGACAAATATTTCGTCGCTCTAAGGGCGTAGCTACACCTGGCGATGAGCCCTGTTGTCCATGTAACTCAATGTTCCCTCGGGCTCATCTTAAATTGTAGTTATGCCATTTTGTCAGCCAAGCGACGATCTGCACTCGGAGATCGGATGCAGCGCGGCATTTGATATTTTCGCCCATTATATACGCAGTCCCGTTTCATCTCGCTGCAATTTTTCGGACGAATTAATCAACTCTTGTATTATGTTTTGCGCGCTTTCGTGTGAAATGAAACGCAACGCGATTGGAAGACACCCTAATTGATGGTTCCGGATTCCCCCTCTCTAGTCGCTGCCAGATTTAGCGGATTGTCAAGCCGCGTGAGGGTTGTATGCTGCCGTGCTGAGGAAAAATGTCGTATGAACATTCAAGAGTTGCCAAATTTCCTCCGATAAAATGTTCATTTTTGAGGAACGCTGTGAATGATTTTCGTTTAAATTTTCAGGGACTTTTGGGGGCTTTAGTAGAAGAGCCCCACCATGGCAAAATTGTCAATCAACTTCCGAGACACCCAGTGGACGCTCCGGTCCGACCCCCTCCCCTCCACACTCCCTCGCGCGATTTACGTACCCTATTGCCGTGCTGCCAAAACCCCTAAAATCAACAATCAAGCCAACGAACCAAAATAAAGTAACCAAACCTAACCTAACCTAACCTAACCTAACCTAACCTAACCTAACCTAACCTAACCTAACCTATACCCTAACAAGAAAAACACGAAAAATACAAAATGAAAATAAACAACAATAAGAAAACGGAAAAGAAAAACCAAAATGACAAACTCATCGAATGACCATTTTCACAAAACCGAGAATTATGTAATAGATTCCGCTTTTGTAAATAACGAACAGCCTCCTCCTCGGAATTCACCTCTTTACACAAACGAAACATGACGCACGCACAATGAAATCAGAACTAACGCAAGTGTGACGGGCAGTTACTGAATAGACTCCGCCGCTCTGAACTTTGACCGAACATCACACCACCGACCTCACACATTCTTCCTCCCTCCCCACCCATCATTTTCCGGCTGCAGTTTGTTTACCCGTTTTGCAACCGCACTCAACCAGCCGTCCACCTGAAGCGTCCACCGGGTGTCTCGAACGAAAGTTGATCGACAATATTGCCGTGGTGGGGCTCTTCTACTAAAGACCCGACTTTTGGTGTAATGGTGAACCATATTATCTTAAAAATAGAGTACCTGTATAGGGAGAGTACCGACAGATCGGTTCATGGAGGGCTTAGGGCCCAAAAGTGCAGCCACCCTTCTAACCAACTTCTAACGCACAAAATTTCACTGCCAGTCTGCAGATTCCAATTCTAACCAAGATGGTTAAGAATGTACAGAAATGAGCGTTCTTCCGCGAAATTGAGTAAATTTATGCAAAAACTGAGTCAAACACGTGCTTAATAAAGGACAGTTCGTAACAATAGTATCAGTAAATCGCTCTGGATAATTGAAATTCATAGGATGGCTGCCCTTTTGGGCCCTAACTTTATTCGTGGAGGCATCGGTGAAGGCCTGATGGACTTTCGGAGTTTCAGATCTGTCGGTACTCTCCCTATACAGGTACTCTACTTAAAAATATCCACAAGTCTACCAGGAAATTCGTGTTTTATCCAAGAAAATTTGGCAACGCCTGAAGGTTCATACGGCGTTTTTCCTTAGCGAAGCAGAATGGAGCTCTTGCATGTGTGAGGGATTTGCGATTTAAGTACTCTTACTAACGTGAAATTTCAGAAGGAACACGATGATGCCACTGGTTTTCTCTGAAACCAACTCAAAAGCTCAAAAAAACTCTCAAAGTTAAGACCGTAGTGGAGGGGATATCCCACGCTACTCTGAGAGTCCAATTCTATATCAAGACAAACTCTCAATACAAAAATTCGGAGCGGCAACCCTGCTAATGTATTTGCTCCCTATCTTTGCATAGAGAGTTTGTCTTGAAATACAGGTGGACTCTTCGGGTAGCAAGGCTTATCCCCTCCATTATAGCCTCAACTTTGAGAACTTTTTTTTGAGCTTTGGAGTTGATTTCAGAGAAAACCAGTGGCACAGTCGTGTTTCTCGCTAAATTTTACCTATGAATTAGTACTTAAAACTCAGATTCCCGACATATTCTAGAGTTCCATTTATAGTCACTGGATATCTCTTTGATTACACAAAGACTCATTCCATCTTTTAAGCTATCGAGAACCACTACATCACCCGCTTCGATTGCTGTACACTTTAACCCCTAGATTTTTCGCAAGTGTTGCCTGTTTTTTCCCAGGGGTTTTTACACGTATAGTGAAGAACATTTAAAGCAATGTCTTAAAGCAATTTTGTCAGGATGCACAAATTTGAAAATCGTATTCGCATTTTTCTCAACATTATCATTTCCGTTGTGCGTGCACTGAGAAAAAAAAGTATGGTTATGATTACCATATTAGTGGTGTTCAATACGAACTCTTAATTAGTAGTTGCCATAACCAATAAAAGAGATATTTTTACCATTAAATGGTAATTTTACTACCGCATTTGTAAAATTACGATTGCTCCAGTAAAAATATCACATTGGTTATGGCCACTACTAATTAAGAGTGCATATTGAACACCACTAATATGGTAATCATAACCATCGTTTTTTCTCAGTGTGGTTGTTGAAAAGACACGAAAAACACAAAGACAGGACGTTTTTAGCCATCAAAGGTTCATCTCCAGCTGCTAATCGCAGGAAGCTCGTATCTGACTTTTATTCAGCAGACAACTAAGTGTGAAGGGGAAACTTTTGAAACTCGAGTAGATTTTTGTGCACATGCGATCAACTAACACACTTTGCGAATGCTATAACTATTCAAATTGGGCTCTAATTGTAACGATCGCAAAATACTAAGGCGCAGTCGTTAAATTTATTGCGCTAACTTTCTTGCAACTGGAATGACGCTCCTTTTATTAGCTCCGGCGCTATAAATTTAATTGGGAGTTGCGTCGACTGCTGTGAGTGAAGTTTATCAGACGTTTCTGAAATGTTCCGCAAATGCTATTCCTTGGAACAAAAGGACGCTCCGCACAAAGCAGCTCCCTCTGCAGCACTCGTGCAGTTGTGCACACTCACCAACTTTTTCTTCTATTTTTTACTTTTAATTATTATTCAAAGGATTTTAATGTTTGCCAGTGAAATTGAGCCGTCCTCTTTGATTACTTACAGCGTTGTAAAATGTACTTAACCTATATCCACACGAGCCCTTGCCAACTTTAAATACATAAATTCGCTCGTCATTACGTATCGTAGGGAGATAGTGGTTGATTGGGATTTTTGAAACACTCTAAAAAAAAGTCGGATGGAGGAAGTCGTGTAACAATCTCAAAATATTGGACTAGAATCCATGCGGACCCACTGGACCTAATCAATTTACTGTACCTACTGATAAATATAAGACCTAATGCCTGGCTGGTGGGAAAACTGTTCACGTAGGATAAACGTAAAAAATTGAGGAAGTTATCTTAATCAGAACGTCAGGATGCAAATATTCGTACTTACGGAATGCCCGTATTGCATACGCATAAAATTGCAGGCACTTTGGTTTTCTTCATCAAGATTCCATGATACAACAATTCGTGCTCATGGAATGTCCGCGTTGCATATACCATCACGTTGGCCATCTAGAAGCATCAGAATGGACTGTGCCACATAGTAAAAAATAGCAATACGAGATATGTTTGCGCATAAGAACGTGCGGCATCACTACAGCTTCGTCAAATATTGCGGTATCCAAAGACGATATCGGTAATGATTCGTGACATAATTTTTGAAATCAATGTGTGGGAATACTTTCAAGATGAAAGCCGAAAAAAAGTATGCACCGCACATTTCATTGCTAAATGCTCTCTTACCCCCTAAATTTTCAGTTTTGTCACAGTATTCGCTCTGCCGTTCCACAGGACCGATTTCCATAATTTTTGGCCATGGTTATCGACAAATAATGACCCTTATTATATGAGCGTGCTTTATTCTTCTTGATTATTTTGTATACTGCGTGTTGAAGTTGTTAATTATCCACCAAAAAAAAATTATCCTTTAAACAATTTAATTATTCCTTTTTTGTCGAATAGTTCGTACAAAAGATCCACGTGAAGTGGACCCCAGAGGGCGCAAGCGTCTTCCGGGTTTCAGGTCGTCCAACAGGGTGGGGAGGGGGAAGCCCCCATGTATCAGATATACGTGTCTGTACGTGTACACTTGTTTTTTGCAATTTTGTTTTCCGGTGTCAAATTTTTTGTCTTCTGTCCACAGGTGATAAATTTTGATTCCCCACGGGGCGGCATTAGTTTGCTGACAGAGAAGGGTGCCATAACTTCCAGTAGATTGCTCATCCAAAAGGCGTCCGCTATGGATTCGGGCAAATACGAGTGCAGTCCGTCCAACGCGGGAGCAGCAACTGTTAGAGTTCATATCCTAAGTGGTGAGTGTATAATATGTATGCCATTCTTCAGAGTTTTATTTCATATTTCCTAGTCATTTCTACACATCACTGGAAAAAAGAGCACGAGATTTTTGAATGATATGGACATTTTCAATTGATCGTGGTAGTACTCCAAATAATTGTGGCTGCACCCCAATAAATCAGGTTACTAACCCAAATGTTGTAGTACTCCAAGAGGCTCAAATAATTTTGGCAATCCAGCTCACATGGAAGTTATTCATCCAGAGCCTTGCAGCTAGCGCTGAAATTAAAAGTTTGCCCCTCCCATCTCTTTTGTCTATCATGATTCACGTCCTATCAATTTAAAGTTACGTCGCCTCAATCATTTTGGGTACTTGTCAGCTTGATCATAACCGTCGATTTTGCGAAGAAAGGGTGAGTCTAGTTTTTGATTTTGCAAAAAAAAAAACTTTTAATTTGCATTAAAACTTGCGTCTGAAATCTGTGCTACAATATGTTTCGTTGTAAAATAGAAATTTTTGCTCCTTTCCCGTATCCTATAATGACCCTCGAGGAAAATTGTTTAGAAATTACAATGACCACATCGAGAAAGTCTGAAGTCCACTCATATCTTCATAGTATGTGTTCCGTAACACAGTTTCGTGAATAAAAACTAAGATTAAGTACATCAACCTATTCGAGTTGATATGAAAAGCAGAAAAGAGAAGACATCAAATAAAGTGCGTTCGTAATTTTGCTTGTATTAAATTAAAATTAAACCGCGACGCATGATGACAAACGTGTGTGGAATTTCGAACACTTTTTGGAGTGAAAAACTCATGAAACATCAAAATCTAACGCCAATTGTGAAGACAGGCCTGCATTTTAGACTTCCTCGATGTGCTGATTGTAATTTTTCAGCCGTTTTGAATGAAAAGCAACTCATTTTTTTCGCACTACCGAAAGTTTGCAACGCATCCGTCCAGCGCGCTTGGACAGTCGCACCCGTTTTTGAGGCTGGGAGCGCATCAACTCACGGCGTTTAAAACGCCTTCAATTACGCAGGATACCACACGAGCACATCAGATCATATTTTGTTGCTCATTACCCCTTAGAACGTCTCGTTTTAGAATTTTAATTCTATCGCACTTTTTTCTCTGAATCTCGTTCAGTTCAGTGTTCGAAAAAAAATGAAAGTTTAATTAAAGATTAGAGACTTCATATTTTTAGATCCTATTGTTGTTTGGGTTCTTTTCAAATCTACTTTTTACATTATATTATAGCGAAACTGGCCTTTCGAATAATTTGATCTTATGTAACTATTGAAAAATGATTTTTTTTCCTTGTTTTAGGTGAGCAGAGAGCCATGTCCATGCACGTAGGCCACGGCACGAGCCCATTCTGCCCCCCATTCATGAGTGCCTTGCTATTACCTTTTATTCTTCTGTTGCGGTCGGCTGTCGTCTAGTCTCAAGTCCAACTCGTCATGCTCCGATTCTCTCAATGTTTATACAATTTTTTTACTTCGTAAATCTATATTTTGTTATTTTAATCGTTAAGTTGTGATCTATGTGTGATTCGGCTGCTGTCTCTATTCATGAGGTATTTTCGGTGCAGGCGAAAGCAACATCAATTGAACGGTTTGGAGACCAAGGAGTAGAAGTGCACCATGTCTTCAAGATTTTTCAGTATTTTTTTTCTTCCTGAAAGAAAACCGGGAAAAAATCGACTGAAATTTTAGCAAACCAAAAAACCTACATATCTCGGGCATAGATAACGAAGTTTGCATCTCATTCACTGGAAAAAAAAACACATTGGATCTCGAGTCCAGACTCTTGAAAACATTGACAAGAAAAAGGACTCTTGATTCAATCAGATTTAAGCTTATATCAAAAGGAAATCCGCTCAAATTAAGAGGCTTGGTTCTTGATTTAAGCAAAAATCCGATTGAATCAAGAGTATTTTTTCTTGTCGATGTTTTTAAAAGTGTGGACTCTAGATCCAATGTGTTTTTTCCCAGTGTTATCTGAAGCACTTCGGAACCGGATTGAAACTTCTAAAGAGTATCTTTTTTTTCTTTGTTTAACCTAACTTTTAGTTGGTTAATTTTTACAATACAATATATAAATCACAATCTATACATAATAAAATAAATAAAGTAAAAAAAAGGAAAACTCTTGATAGAAAATGCTGATTCATTCCCCGCCAGTGGTGTTTAAAGCCGGAATCAGCCCCAGGGCATGCATCGGCGTTTAGAGAGTACCTGAACTAAATTACCGGTGTAAGTACTTCAGATGTTTGATTCGAACACTTCGGCAGCTGGACCTCAAGTTTTCAGATGTACAGTCCGAAAATTTCAGATGTCCATATGATCTGAACTTCGGGTCCCCGGTCTTATGCACGAAGTTTTTTTCCTCCGTTCGATATAGTTTCACACTTTCCGAAATTTAGCGTTACGTATTTTATGGACGGCCCCTAGGGTTCAGGATTAGTGACTACTGTTTCGCCCTCTATCCAAATCTAACGATATTGCCTCAACCTAAAGATCGGATTCATGGGTGGTTTAATAATAATATAACACTTCAGCCGATTTTTACTGTAGTGCTACATGCATTACGAAACGAGCGACAAGGAAAGGAAAAATTGCCGTACTCAATGATGTAATTGTATAAAATTCACTGCGACGTGTTTATGCCGAATACTGATGTCTCATGAACAGAGATTACCTACAGCTTCAAAACAATATCTGTATTATAATAATGAGAGAAAATGTTTGTATTTTCCGTGTAAAATATCATTTGGTTTTACTTGTAAAGTTGAATCGTGTAATTTAGGAACTGTGCATAGTTGTATTAAGTTCAAAAATATGCGACGAATAAAATTCGTTAATACCATTTCAAAAACGTGAATTTCATTTCTTCTTTCTCACGAGCACCCAATCCCTCGATACATTGCTGTTGTGATAAAAATGAATATATTTTTTCTCAGCGAATAATGTGTTTTTGTCAGCTACGCGATCTTGTATATCTTCCTCGAAAATATCTAGCCTTTTCAGGAGAGTGAAACGGCTGCATTCCTCTGTTTTAATAATAATGAATTTCAAAAGATACCAAAAAATTTCAAATGAAGCCAAAAAATTTCAAAAGCCGGCTTAGCATTTGTAAGGTTCTTCAGCCTTTCCTCACATAGTAAATGTTGCAAGCGGAAATTGTAAGGAAAAACTGGCGGGATTCTTGGATTTTTTTTACTTTAATTTCACCCTGCCTTCAGCTCTAAGATCCATTTTTGTCAAATCAGCGATGCTAGATAAAAGCTGCCTTCAATTGCGTACATGGCCTTTTCGATTTCCGTTAACATTTTTGCAGTCATGAATGCGCTTAAGTGCGCTTCAGCTAGAATAATTGTATTTACAAATGGGTGGTTTTTCTACGAGGATTAAAAATAAACGAGTGGTACGGAATATAACAAAAGAATATGAACTATGCAAAACGATAATCCGGGTATCGGAACTTGGCTGTTTTGAAAACGCCTTCAAATGCAGCGTGATACCTCACGCATTCCGGAGAGTTCAAATAGTTGTATCATTGCGCCGTAAGAATGTGACGGAAGATTTAAATGGAGATAGCCTCCATGCACGCTGGGCTTGTCGATTTCCTCTGAAATTTTTGCAGTGGTGAATGCATAGCTGAAGTGCGCTTCAGCTAGAATTGTATTTACAAATGGATGGTTTTTCTACGAGGATTAAAAATAAACAAGTGGTTAGAAATGAAAACAAAATACTATAAACTATGCAAAACGATTATTCCTATTACGGAACTTGGCTTATTTGAAAACGCCTTCAAATGCGGCGTGATACCTCACGCATTCCGGAGAGTTCAAATAGTTGTATCATTGCGCCTTAGAAATGTGACTGAAGGTTCAAATGGAAAAAGCCTTCATACACGCTGGCTTTGTCGATTTTCTTTGACATTTTTGCAGTGGTGAATGCATAGTTGAAGTGCGCTCCAGCTAGAATTGTATTTACAAATGGATGGTTTTTATTTATTTATTTATTTTATAATTTGTACAATTGAGCCTCTGGCTGAGGCTATGGCACACGTCATATTCGGTTCATGGTGAACAGTTACAGCGATATACATAAGGTACAAGTGTTAAATTTTACTAGCCTACAAGTTCGTGAAGATTATAGAAGACTTTTTCGAATAAGAAAGCACGCAGCCCTTTAAAGAACGACGTTAGGTCAGCATTTCGAAAGTGTAGCTTCACACTCCAAGGCAGTGCGTTGAACATCTGTATTGCCGAAAACTTGACATCCTGCTCAGTCCGTCTCAATCGAATCATTTTACGAGGGATGTTCTTATGCCTACTGATGTAATGATGATTAGGCAGGAGGTCAGAAGGCAAAATAAGAGCACTGGAGATGGCAAATTTCAGGCAATCCCAGATGTAAAGGGAGGTTAGGGTGAACAATTTATATTCAACAAAGATCGGGCGGCAGTGTGAGTTATGAGGAAGATTGAAAATGGTTCTGGTAATTTTTACCTGCATGAAAAACACTTGATCAACACTAGAGCCTCGCCCCCACAGAAGAAGCCCATATCGCATATGAGACACTTTGTGAGCGTGATAAAAAGCCAGACAGCCCAAGAGGCCCTTGATAGTTACTACACAACCATGTCGGTCTGTCGTTGTCACGTTAGACCTGCATCAATATAAATGCCAAGAAATTCTATGGAACTTTCCAATTTTACACTTAAATTATCATCTAACATACAAATGGATTCTGGTGATGAAGAGGTAGTTCTAGGGGATACAAAAGAAAGAATTGCTTGAGTTTTCTTTTGATTGACAAGGAGGCCATTTGCCTCAAACCACATACAGGCCTGCTCATAGACTTCACGAGCTTTTAGCTTAACATCGCAATCTGTAATTACAGCGGAAGTATCATCTACGAGGAAGTTTTTCTACGAGGATTAAAAATAAACAAGTGGCACGGAATATTACAAAAGAATATGAGCTGTGCAAAACGATGATCCGGGTATCGGAACTTGGCTGATTTGAAAACGCCTTCAAATGCGGTGTGATACCTCACACATTCCGGAGAGTTCAAATAGTTGTATCATTGCGCCTTAGAAATGCGACGGAAGATTACAATTGAAATAGCCTTCATGCACGCTGGCCTTTTTGATTTCCGTTAACATTTTTGCAGTCATGAATGCGCTTAAGTGCGCTGTAGCTAGAATTGTATTTAGCAAATGTGTGGTTTTTCTACGAGGATTAAAAATAAACAAGTGGTACGGAATATAACAAAAGAATATGAACTATGCAAAACGATAATCGGGGTATCGGAACTTAGCTGTTTTGAAAACGCCTTCAAATGCGGCGTGATACCTCACGTATTCCGGAGAGTTCAAATAGTTGTATCATTGCGCCGTATGAATGTGACGGAAGATTTAAACTGAAATAGCCTTCATGCAGGCTGGCCACATCCCATCTCGAGCCCTGGTACCAGTTTTATGGTCCGGGCCCCAAGCACGTAGGGGGGGGGGGTTTCCGAGGGGCATCCCCCGAGAAATTTTAGAATTTATACGACTAATCGGACGCATTTTGAAGCTTCCATAATGAATTTTTCCATCAATTTCTGTGGAATAATTGTGGTTTTTTTTTCTACTTTCAGCACAAAATACTTGCGAATTGTTGCATTCAAAACATCTGGAAAATTTTTATTTATTTTTTTTTGGGGGGGAGGGGGGGGGCATATGATACTATTTTCAGTTCTATGAGGGCCGGGGCCCCCTGGACTCCCCCTTCGTTTGTCTATGGCAAGGGTGTTGAGCCATGAGCCATTGAAGTCGTGGATGCCCAGACTGGAGACTCTTAGCATCTGACGACGGAAGAAAATGAAACGCAGTTACTAAAAATATCCCTCTGTACTGAAAATCTTGAAAATAGATAGAAATTTACCAATAAGTATACTTCTTTGAAAATTTAAGAAGAATTATACAGCGCCCCAGCGTGTTTCTGAAAATCTATTCACCTTTTGCGAAATTTTTAGGGTAAATTTTTCACTTTTTCTTACGAAACAAGGGTTGCATGTGAATTCGTAGTGGTTTTTCACGGGTAACACGGGCCCCCTCCTTGGCCGGGCCCCGGTATCAGGGACCCAGTATCCCACCCTTGTGGCGGGCCTGCCTTCATGCACGCTAGGCTTGTCGATTTCCTTTGACATTTTTGCAGTGGTGAATGCATAGCTAAAGTGCGCTTCAGCTAGAATTGTATATATAGCAAATGGGTAATTTTTATTGGAGGATTATAAAAAATAAGTGGTTAGAAATGTAAACAAAATACTATGAACTATGCAAAACGATTATTCAGATATAGGAACTTGGCTGTTTTGAAAACGTCTTCAAATGCGGCGTGATACCTCACGCATTCCGGAGAGTTAAAATAGTTGTATCATTCTGCCGTTAGAATGTGACGAAATATTAAAATGGGGATAGCCTCCATGCACGCTGGGCTTGTCGATTTCCTCTGAAATTTTTGCAGTGGTGAATGCTTAGCCGAAGAGCGCTTCAGCTAGAATTGTATTTACAAATGATTGGTTTTTCTACGAGGATTTAAAATATACAAGTTGCACGGAATATAACAAAAGAATATGAACTTTGCAAAACGATAATCCGGGTATCGGAACTTGGCTGATTCGAAAACGCCTTCAAATGCAGCGTGATACCTCACACATTCCGGAGAGTTCAAATAGTTGTATCATTGCGCCTTAGAAATGCGACGGAAGATTGCAATTGAAATAACCTTCATAAACGCTAGCCTTTTCGATTTCCGTAAACATTTTTGCAGTCATGAATGCGCTTATGTGCGCTTCAGCTAGAATTGTATTTACAAATGGGTGGTTTTTCTACGAGGATTAAAAATAAACGAGTGGTATGGAATATAACAAAAGAATATGAACTATGCAAAACAATAATCCGGGTATCGGAACTTGGCTGTTTTGAAAACGCCTTCAAATGCGGCGTGATACCTCACGCATTCCGGAGAGTTCAAATAGTTGTATCATTGCGCCGTAAGAATGTGACGGAAGATTTAAATGGAAATAGCCTCCATGCGCGATGGGCGTGTCGATTTCCTCTGAAATTTTTGCAGTGGTGAATGCATAGCTGAAGTGCGCGCTTCAGCTAGAATTGTATTTACAAATGGGTGGTTTTTCTACGAGGATTAAAAATTAACAAGTGGCACGGAATATTACAGAAGAACTATTACGAAAGAAGACAAGCCCCAGGGTGTTTCTGAAAATCTTTTCACCTTTTGCGAAATTTTTAGGGTAAATTTTTCACTTTTTCTTACGAAACAAGGGTTGCATGTGAATTCGTAGTGGCTTTTCACGGGTAAAACGGGTCCCCCTCCGGGGCCCAGGCTCCGGTACCAGGGACCCAGTATCCCCCCCCCCCCTTGTGGCGGGCCTGGTTTTCCGTTTAAAAAATAAAGTATGACAGGAAGTCTGCGATGTCACATACCGAGTTAGGTATGTGATTGCCGACTTACTCCGTCGAAATGCCAATATGTAAAAGTAACTGCTGTGGCGCGTAATTCAGCAATTTAGAAGTTCGCGCACACTTTTTTTACATCCAGAATGTTGAATCAACGTCACTTATTCGGCGTGGAAAAATCTTCATGGAACTTGCTTGCCTAATTTGCAAATGTTCTTGTGATTATTTTGTTTTTTGGCTGCTTCTGATTTGAGCCTTTGAATAAATGACGAGGAGATGTGGCTTCATTTCACGCGTTATACTTGCGCGTGTTACTTGTTGTGAGCCACGACAAACTGTGTTCACCATTCGGGAACACCTTCACTTTCATGTGATACTTCACCGCCCACACTGAAGTTAACATTTTTGAATCATAAACATTTTGCATATTGATACAATCTCATAGGATCTTTCAATTTGCTATCGAACACTCATGAAGTATTGTCTCGCACTTAGTTAGAAAATTACCGTAGTGGAAACTGTTTGCATAATTTGAGGGGCTTGGAGGACAGGGCGCATGAGTGCAGTTTTTGCTATTTCGAGAAATACGTGTTTAAAGTTTTGAAACATAATACGGATCCTTATGACAGAAAAAGAGTTCAAACTGACTTTTAGATGCGTAAAAATTGGAATTTGAGAGCGAATTTTTCACAGAATATGCATGATGACAGACTAGTTTTATTAAAAGTCATAATGCCTCAATTTTTTTTAAAACTGCACTTATGCGCCCTTGTTCTCCAAGCCTCTAATTTGTAAATGCTCGTTTCGAAGCTGATTCTGACAGTCTGACTTAGGTATTCAAGGAAATGACGGGGATTTTCAGATTTATTTGATCTGTTTAGGCGATACGCGTTGTGGTGAGCTAAGTAAAAGAAACAGTTTGTTATCACCAGTTGTCAAAGGCATAACTATAGAAAATTTTGATCATTATTTTGTCCGTCCTCCGTAGGCGACGTATACCTATAATGTTCCGTGCTAGTGGTGACCTGGTAACATGACGGTTGCGTTGGAGATGGTGGACCTCACCGCCCCCTCTCTTCTTTTTTTCATTAAATCCTTTCCCGTAGTTTCTACTATTTACTATCGTTATCCTGTTTTTCTTAGTTTCCTCACTTCTTTTAGCAAATTAATCAGGCTTATGAGCCATACTGCGTTACAAACTCGACTTCCCTACTTTTAAGTAAGGCCAAACTTCAAACTGAGAGGCTCATTTTTGCAAGGCATAAAGCGTCAAGATCTTTTGAGGCGCTTAGAGGACATAAGTGCAGTTTTTGAAAAAATTGAGCTATTAATGATTTCAAGCAATACAATCAGCATTTGCAAGCATTAGGATGAATAGGTATTCTGTAAAAAAAAACTCGCTCCCAAATTCCTATTTTTAAGAATCAAAAAGTCAGTTTGAACTTCCTTTTTCGCCGTATAAGGATCCATGTACTTAATTTTCAAAACTTCAAACACTTATTTCTCGAAATGGCAAAAACTGCTCTCACGCGCCTTGTCCTCTAAGCCCTTCGTTTGATCTTTGGATTCCCCTGCCTCTAGGTATTACTACGAGGTATTGTATTATCAATATGCACAATGTTTTTTATAAAAATATTTCAACTCGTTTCATTTTTGTTCTGGTAATTTTGGAAATGAATGAATTAAAAAAACACAGTCAATAATGCGAATTAAGGGGGGGCGTAATTTTCAAAATTATCTGGGGAGGACCCCTGGAAGTCCCCTCCAGGAGGAGGAGCTCGCCCGCCGAAAAATTTGGAGCCAGTCCGCCCCCCTGCTAGTCAGATATAGTATAATTAAGGTCATCGTGTCACAGAAAAAATCGCGTGACGCGCAAAAAAAAAAAAAAAAAAAAAAANAAAAAAAAAAAAAAAAAAAAAAAAAAAAAAAAAAAAAAAAAAAAAAAAAAAAAAAAAAAAAAAAAAAAAAAATTGAGGTTACAATTGGACGTATTTATATCAAACGGAACTATGTGCATTAAGACATGAGCCCTGAGACCCAACAGAATATGTGCATAACAGGGCTCACGTAATAATGCACATAGTTCCGTTTGATAGAAATACGTCCAATTGGACGTTTAAGCGCCAAATTGAGTTCCTTTTGAGGATTTTAGAATCCTGGATAGCGCGTTCTGTCAAACGGAACTAAGCGCCATGGAAAAGCATTGCGAGTATAGGACGGAACGAGCATTGCGTTCCGCAACACCCGCCAATCCAAGCTCCCTCTCCCTTCCTCCCCCGATGGCGCTTAGTTCCGTTTGATAGAAATACGTCCTATTTTAAGGTGCTAGGTAACAATACTTGTGCATACTTGAATATATGTAAAATCTGGCCTCTCGGTACTGGAAAAAAGTGATAAGTACCATATGCCAGCTATCAATCGTGTCGATTTTCAACCCGCAAGACTGCTTCGACACAAAAGTAAGCATAAAGGATATTCAGTATTGCGAAACTCAATTTTGTCCAATCATACGGGGAAATAATTCAGTCCACAAAATTTTGCGCAAGTAGAGCGATGCAACTCGACTTCGTTTAAGGAATCAAAATAAATCTCACTCAGATTTTTCAATATGGTACGTAAACTTCGTACATGGTTCTTAAGAATAAGTTCCGACCGGTTAAGTTCATTACCGTGCTTTTAGGGAGATGATTTCCTTTGAAACCCCCCTGTTTAAAAATCAAAACAACACTTAGACCATAATTAATGTTTTCTCTCTATATTATTATATGTATGACACAATAGAGAATCCAAGCATTCGCATCTGAGAAAATTTGTATTTCGCGGGTCTCCCTCCTCAACCGCACTCTCGTGGTGTTACTGAGAACTAGAATTGTCTAAATGTTGTTTTTCCTCAAATTGTGTTGCAGCAATATCTCTCTGCAGTGGTTTATGCTTTATGCTATGCATCCAAGTGTTTTTAAACAAGTTAGTGTTATCATGACATGAAGATCCTTTCTCTTCATTTTCTCAAATTTGAACGGATGCAATGGTTTCAGTTTGCTTTTAGCTTCAAAAGTTTTTCGTTTTTGTTTTATAATGAATGTTAAGTTTAAAGGTTGGCTTGTATATGTTTATTTGCTGCAGCAGTTTTTAACAGGTATAGTATAACCTTTACTTTCAAGGTTTGTTTATTTATGTTCAACTTGGCCTTGTACAATACCATGCTTCTAATTTGTCTCTACATCTCCGTTCTTGCATTGTTTCTAATCTCATTCTCATAAATTCTTCATTAATTTCAAATACACTTTTAGGGGTTTGCTGGACCTTGGCCTCTGATGCCCCCAACCATACCAGATTTCATCGTCCCTCCCCTGTCTATCAACCTCTGTTCCGATTTTCCAAGTTGTTCTCTCTTCACGATTAAGACAATGTAACTTATGAAACAGCTAAAATATGCTCTCTAGAACGTATATAAGTTGATGTGAGCTGTCAAGGTTCCTATAAGCCTTATTACCTCAACCCTTGTTCATGATCATCATCTTCACCTCCTTAAATCCACAAATCCACAACTAGCTTGTTAGTTTTTTAGGTTAAAGCCATAGTCTTATCGAGTTGACACCTTATTAGTAAATTACCAGATGATTGCCAGGTAATTGTATCTCTGGGGCTCCTGTGTGTAGAGGCATTTTGTATTACTACTATTCTAGGGATATACTTGAATTCGATCTGTGCTGAGTGTAAGTCTGGTACATGACTTTGTGTGCAAGCAATCCTTAGACATACCTAGCAATTATAAATGAAGTCCTCTATTCTAGGTTTATGATGTAGAAATCACTAATAGATTAGAAAACCAAATGTATATGAACCAGGGGCAATGATGACTTTAGAATCATTCCTAGTTTGCCTGTCTTCGTATCATGCCAGGATAGTACCTATAGACAAGGGGCCATTAAGAATGATAAGAATGAAAGCTTCTTAAAATAAGTATCCTCATCATAATTTCGCGTAAAATACTCTGATCATGTCAAGGGTTTTTATAATAAATCCATAATTGGACGTATTTCTATCAAACGGAACTATGTGCATTAAGACATGAGCCCTGAGACCCAACAGAAATGTGCATAACAGGGCTCACGTAATAATGCACTTAGTTCCGTTTGATAGAAGTACGTCCAATTGAGAGATATGCGTTGATTGTGTACGTAAGAATCAATGCCTCTAAGCCGCTCATCAGCTTCAAATCCATAATGAAAGTAGGTACTCAAGGAAGCAAAATGGACTATCAAAAATCAGCTCATCATTTTCTCCATGATTAAATGCTAGTTTCACTAAAATCCTCCTTTTCCTCTGATGTACATTTTGTACTTACAATCTTCTCTGAAGAATTCAGCACAATGATAAAATTATATTACGGCCAAGCATAATATAATTCATCTAAGAAGTAGCCAGTTTGATTCGAGTAGACTTTGGTATTTTGTAATCAAAACGTTGCATTTTGCAACCTTTTGCCTGCAGCTAGTTTAGGTAAATTCATATCTTTTGGCTAGTGAATTCCAAATCTCCTGTACTTATATCTAAAATAATTTTTAACAAGCTCATAATGATGACTATGTTGATTCACAAAACACAATATGTTGTATAAGAATCACAGAGAGAAGCTATATTTTATTTCAACGTACGGTCGGTAATTATGATTGCCTCGTTAGGTAAATGCAACTACTCCTGCAGGGTTCTTGCCAAATCAGTTCATGCACTTTTTGAGTTAGACAGGTGGTCGGCTATTGCGACTTTTTTATTTACTATCAATTCTCAATTGAAGACAGCTGATCTTTGATCTCATTCCAGCAGTTAATTTCTTCCTTTGTTCCTCTTTTGCAGGTTACGCCAGTGAGTATCAAGTAATTTTCTCGAGTAATGCGCCCGCTATTGTTGGATCTACAGTGACGTTTACCGCCGATCTGTTCAAGAATAATGAACGCCCCTCCGGAAAGTTCTACTATCATTTTTTTGACAACTTCCATCCTCCAAATTCGTTTCGCGTAAGTTCCAATTCATATATCAGGATTATCATACATGAGCAACATCATGATCAGGTAACAACATGACCTCTAGGTAGATTATCTGTTGCTCATATATTAACATCTGTGAAATATGAAATATCTCTTAAATGCAACAATACCATTCTGAAATTGATCTGAAGATAGTTGCGATACATGATAAACTTAGATGAAACTTAAATATGTTTTGCTCTTTATCATCCTGAGCAAAAGCCCAAGAGTGAAAGCGAACAAAGTCCAGAGAACAAAATCAGTGGAGATTACATGTGCTGTTTTTAAGATAACCACCTCTGAATAATAGCCAAAATCAAGTTTACCTCTGTCCAAGCTTGATTAATGCATTATTTGTTCAAGGCAAGATCCTTGAAGCTTCCTATCTAACCCTCACCTCCTGAAGGGTTTCATTCACTCAGTGTGCGCACTAAATATTTTTTGATCGGTGCATCTTAACTGAATCCCTCTTTACATCAAATTTTTCCACTCATATTTTTTTTCTTTATATCTATCTATTGCTGTTAGGTTTGCCCGATTTTGGCTAATGTTCAGAATCAAATATCTTGTTATGGCAGAATCTCTGACAGCTCAACAGGATTTTTTTTAGGATGATCATAAGAGTAACATTTTTTAGTACCTCTAAGTTAACTGAAAAAATAATCTACTCTAAGTTTTACCCTCTGCTTAAAAGGTGAATTTTAAATATTAAATAATAATGGAAACCTTAAAATGCCTCCCAATGCAAGTTAATGCCTTTACAAAATCCTAGAAAATTTTTTTAGTTGATCACCTGTATGTAAAAATGCTAAATAAAAATACTGAACAGCTACAACATCCCTTACCATTATCTTCCTTTGAAAAACTAATGGTTAATTCATTGAAATATGATTTATGTACCCGCAGAATACCTTAGCAAGCATTTGGGGCCATAATTACCTGACTTGATTTGCTTGAATAGAAAAATTTAAACTTTTCAAAGCTGAAAAAGAAAGAAAAATGAAGAATCATACATCAGGCCTTGGAAAATTCAAAAATAAAAGAGTGGGAGATGAGAGTCCGTTGGTTGCTCTGTAGTGTCAGAGAATGATTTTATTGCCTTGTATAACCAAGGTTATTGCTTACCTGGTCAGCTCGTGACCTCCCTTCTTGCTCTTTTCCCTCTTTCTAGTATTATGTACTAGGAGATTAAGTATGACATTTTGATCTTACCAACTAGGTAGTGGAAAACAAAAATATTTCCAAAGCAAAAAGTTGACACAGGTTTTTACCTTTAATATTCTTTTAGCTTGATTTATTCCATCTTACTCCAAGAAAAAAAATTCACAATACAGAGTATAGCCAGTGTCTTTAGCAAAGATCGTGAGGACATTCCTACAATTTGGCGCAAATTTGTGAAATCCTGATCAAATTCAGTGTATATGTGTTAGGAATCATACATGAAACAACATGTTTAATACTTTCTTGTGAATGACAGGCAATCTCTTTGTGTGATTGTGTGATGAAGAATGTAGAAAGCAAATCATCAAATATAAAAATAATGAAACTCTTCTATTTTTTCTTCTTTTTTTTGCAGAATGAAACGACAAGCACAACAGTTCACTGGAACATAACTTACACTGGAAGGGAAAGAGTGGGAAATTACACAGCCACGGTAATTGTGGAAAGCTCAATCATTTTCGGAGCAATCAAGAGGAAAATTTGCACTAATGAGACTACTTTTGAAATAACCAGTAAGTGTTGTTTTCCAGACACCTCATCCTCTCTTTTTTAGTCAAAAGTTTCCTTCATCTTAAACTAGAGCAATTATCACAGGTCAGTCATTTCCAAGAAGTATGAAACTTCTTTGTACAGGGTCTTTTAACTGTCCATCTCCTCTGGGAGGATGTTGGAATGCAACACCATCATAATGAAAAGGGAATGCTATTCCAAGAGAGTGACTTCTTGGCTACGCAGCTGGCCCGGTCATATGGAATGGGGACACATCCTAGGAGAACCGGAAAAAATTGAGGAAGGCTGTAAGATATATTTTTGTAGGTATTATAACTTACATGATGTTTAAGTAGCTCTGTAAATGGCCCATGCAATATCTTCAATTTTTTTTTCCTTTGAAGTTTTTTTAGGGGGAGAGTTATCATGATTTTGGGTAAGAACGGATGACTTTTAATTTGATTTGTCAAAACACTTGAAGCACTCTGCATTCTTGTAATACAAGAAAAACCATAAATTAAAGTGAGACTGTTAGTCTCTTTAACATCGAAGACTGAATAATGAATCCTTTTAAAAATAAATTCTAAGGATCTACAAATTTAAATAATAAAAAAAAGCACCTTGAGACAACTGTTGAGTGTGACATTCTCTTCAAGCTACAACCATCAAATTTTGAAACAATTTTTGCTTTTCATTGAAGAGGGTAGGTATCAGTTAAAGTGTTTGCTACCTTCCTTTTGACATTCATGTTTTATGTTCAACTTTCAGGGCAATTGAATGGAAACATTGACCTGGCACAGAATGGAACACATCGACAGAAGTTTGTGTCAACTGCAGTTGCTGTTGATCACCACGTGGAACTTACCGCCCCCGACCACAACTTCATTAAAAATGCCACATCATTGCTGACTTTCTGGTTCATTGACTGCATTTATTATGGCATGACCTCTAACTTGGAGCCTTTCAGTTTCAATTATACTAAACCAGATACCAAACACCATCTAGAGACAATAACAATAGCTGATTTCTCGCCATTGCCACCCACAACTGTAGCGCCCCCCACTACGACTCCTTCACCAACTACGTCCACAACAACGTCAACTACCACAACAACTGTAACAGTGCCTACAGTTCCACCTGTAACGACTCCCGTAACAACTGAAAAGACAACCACATCTAAAATAGTTCATGAAGTTAGGAGAAGGTCATCAGATGATGCTTCTCATTATCCTGACCCAACTGCGATAAACCATGCAGACTCTTATGTTGCTATCAATTCCTCTTCTGGCTCCAACAGAACAATCATAGAAATAAATACCAATGAAATAGCTGAATTACCACACAGTACTTTCAGTCCGTCTCAAAAAATTGATTTGAGTGAAAACATCAATCCCACTTCAAGTAATGTTACCTCGACTGTTGCTCCTAGTACAGCCAATGGCTCAGCTACTGCTATTCCAATTAGATACAAGGAGTTAAGAAACTACTTCCCAAACATCAGTCTCACAAATAGTTGTATCAAGCCATCGGATGTGATAGTAGGACTTAATAAAACTTACGCTTTCACATCTCAGACCTTTAAGACTGTAGGTAAGTTAATATTTTTTCTTATTATTTTTAAAAGTGAAATGGTTACCGAAGATCAATCGTAAGATTCTTGTGGAAATATATGATCATCAAAATTCTGAGTCATATTCAAAATATGAGAAGTTTAAGGTGCCAAAGACCAGCAACAAACAACTTGGTCTCCAAAAAGGTCGCAAAACAGGAAACTCACAAAATGAAGATCTTTTAAGGTGTTAAGAAAATTAAGTAAAAATAAAAAACAAGAAAATAATGAGCTATCACTATAATATGGGAATAATGCTAAAAATCGTTCTTTTTCAGTTACACATGTACTGAATTGTCAATGTGAAAAATCAGGAAATTTTGATCTCTTTGGTCACGGGAAACCTCCGAAAGTCAGAGAATTTTTCTCCTTGAGTCTTCAAACATAGCCATCCTGATACTCAATGCAGAATTAAAACACCTTAACCTGTTTGTTTGGTGGATCATTCTACTTATCGATAGTGAAATTGCAGAAATCCTAGTTTGCGGCGTTGCAGACTGCATGTCATATTTTATTTTCTACATAGGAAACTACATAATGTCATTTTTTTAAAACTTCGGTGATTTTTTAACTCCATGTGAAAAATTTCTCACAAAAATTTAAGGACATTATGTTGGCACTGTCTCCTTTCATGAAGTGAAGTAGAAGCGGAGATTTTGAAACACTTCAACCAGACAGTACCTAGACGTAAGTTCGAAATTCCTTTCTACGTTGTTAATGTTTTTAGTCAGCGTAACTTGTGGCGACAAAAAAGCTGTTTATCACTTCTTTCAGATCTCGGATGAACTATTCTCTGCCCTCTTTTAGAACTGAGATTATTAGTTCTATTATTTAATTATTAATTTTTGCTGTAGTAACACTACGTAATGCTTTTATGTTTACTTTTCAGCTCCTATTTCAAACATTGAAGTAACTGGAGCCAAATGGTTGCAAGAGCAGGAAGTCTTAAATATAACGGTATGTTTAATTTTAACTTTCCAAATCTACTGCCAATATATTGAGTTTCATTTAAGTCTAATGAAAGGCAAATCAAAAAGTGGTCAATGTAGTATCTTTTTATTATTCTCAGAAGATGGGAGCTACGGCTATTAATTAAAATGTTAAGATTTTCCCAGATGATTCTGTATTTTTACCCACTCTGATCTCCCCTCTTACAGTCAGTGTTTGACTGGAAACGTAATACACTAAACATCGGATTATCTGAACCTTCTGTAGTAGTCGGCCGGTTAAGAAAACAGAAAGTTTAGATAATGTTTAGGTCACTGTAACATGCTTAATTGAAGGCGCTTTGTATTCATAAAACATGATGAAACGAGTTCAAATTTGTGGTAAAATGTTGTATTAAATATTTACAAGTAAAATATACAGTAAAACAGATCTGGTAGAGAAAAAATATGAGATCACATTGGGAAAGTAAACAAGAGGAGGGGTGAAGGAAGTCATAACAAAAGATTTGCTCCATCTGCTGAGAGGGAATTCAATAAGTGTCTAAACCCAAAATCAGTTTGAATTATTTGGAGTAAGAACAATCCAAGGTTTAGTAAAATGTGGAAAATTGAAAGGAACAAAGAGGGATCTGTTCATTCGATTTTTTAACCAATATTTTTGACTTTTTTATGCCATTTTTATATTCTTTGGTAAAGGGCTGCTTTATTTAGAGAATCCTAAGTAGTTGAGGAGAGTTCAATGTGAGCAAAAAAATCAAGACCATCTCACACGGAACTCTACTTAACCGAGATTCTCAAAAGTAGGTAAAGCAGTGCCTCACCAATACCATAAGAACCATAAGTAAGTACCATAAAAAGTGATACTTTGGTCCAGCAGTCTAATGCCTTGAAGTGAATTTGCTCTCAGCTTACATTCGATTTTTGTTTTAAACAAGAGAAAAAGTTGTCTAAAATTGGAAAAAATATCTACTCAACCTAGTTTTTAAATTATTCATTCAATATCTGAGATGATGTGAGGGTTTGCATTTACCTTGCTTGAGGCTTTAACCTGAAATAGATGGTGACCTTTAATCGAACATGCACTTTTCAATGTTTAAATTTACCTTTTTCAGGTGCTTTGCAATGGATCTGCTGTGATAAAGTACTGCATTCAAATCGTGAATGGGCTGTATAACGTGACAGGAAATGAGTCTTGTTACTCATATAAAACATTGCCGACATGTCACTTCCTTTTCACGCACTGGTTTGGTCAAAACCCTTCTCCTGTGCACACGCTTTTAATCATCATTGAAAATGAGGTTACGAAGCAAGTGAAGCCTGTTGCAATCAACATGTATCACGGTAAATCTTATCATTTTGTTAGTTGTAACATATCAGTAGAACCATAGAAACATATAATTTGACCACACAAGTGGTGAATCTTGTATGTCAGCAACAATGGTCTTTTGCATCTTAAATGTTTTTTAACGTACAGTTCTAAGTGAGGCTGGTTGTTTGATGCAGTACCTACAATGAATTTAACTAGAGGAAGAACAATTGCCAACTTGTATAAATCACCCTAGGATTGTGGCATCGCAAATTTTCTGCTCCTATTTAAAGGAGATCCAACCAGCTTCATGCCCTGAAATTTTTACTCAGTATCTCTCATATAGGGAAGAGAATCTTATAAATTTCAAGAACTGCTGTAAAGAAGACTTTCTTTGAAAGATGAAGTATGATAGAAAAATAGAAATATTTTGAACTGAGGTCATATTCCTTCATAGTTTGGGCAATCGATGGAAGCTCAAAACCAGATTTTCAACACTGGGCGGTATTCCAAAAAGTTGATATCTGATTCTGAATAGATTTTATAATGACCTCCTTCTTTCTGGACTAGTTTGGTTTTCCGCAGGAAAATGAGAGTTTCCCCTAAAAATGAAGCTAGTTTAGGAAAAATTCGATTTTCTGGGAAATCTGTACACATTAGAGACAAAGTGGGCTTAGTTTTCTTTTGAAAATTTGAGTATGACGCTGCGGCTACTCATAAAAAATAATATTTTCTTACAGCCATGCAGTTGAAACAAATCAAATGAACATAGTTAATAATAGGTAATGTACATGAAAATTTCTCAGTCTATTTATCAATTCATGATAACACCTTTCATCAGCTCTACAAGGGTATATTTTCTTGTTTGTGTTCCAGCCGTCAAGCAACCACAACTCTCTGTGATCGTTGTTCCTATCGTTGCTAGTGCCGTTGCTGTAATTATCATTGTGTTTGGTATCTCTTACTACATTCAGAGTAAACAAAGGTATGCCATTTTTTCAAGTTTATCCTTTTATTAGTCTCTTAGTTAATTGTCATATTATATAATGTAATACTTACTCAGTGTATTTTATTTATTTTTCAACTTCAGACTGTAAATTAACTATTTCTTACAGAAGACGCCTTTCCTGTCCTTCATTTTTAGTCGTGCGGCGAAGCCGTATAGACTCTAGGTTTCGCCGGAGGCTAAAAAGTGTCCACACTTTTAGGCTAAGTCCAAGAGGAGAATTTTCGAGGAACCAAGTAACATATGAGGTATTGATATCGGTGCATTTTGGCCCAATGGAGATGTTACATGTGCGAGGAATTTGCAATTT